TATAGAGAGTAAAAATATAATTTTAAAAAACCAAAGAAAGAATCTAAAAAAAAAATCCTGCCTTACAAATTAAAAAGAGAAACAGCACCTACCAAAGTCACCTGGATGGAGAGGCCAGAGAGATAAGGAAAAACATCCAGGTAAGGATGGTTCTAAGAGTTCAAAAAAGAGAGTTTAATGGAGGAGCAATCAACATGACAAGATGCGTGGCATATAATCAGAACTCAATAAATGTAAAGTTCATGTTGTGTCCATTTTAATAAGCATAAGTCTCACTCTCACATTGTTAGAGCTATATCAAGGCAGAAAGGAATTCAAGGAAGAGAAGAAGGGATCTTTCCTATGTTAAATGATGCATGCATGCCGCCTCCATGTCTATCAGAGTCTCACTGAAAATCGTAGTATAAAACAAGACATACTGAGGTTTCCACAACCCTCATATGCTTGTGGGATAAGGACTGCTCCCAGCAGCAGCAAAATTTCAAATTTCCCTAGCTCTTAGAAATACAGGACTCTATCTCCTTGAGAATTTCCTCCCCATCCCACCTCACCACCTGAAGCACATTTAAAACCCAGATGTGACTCTCAAGTGTTCATCATAGGATGATGCCATTTTTCTATTCTGCCGTTTCTCTTACTGGACAGTTCAGTTCCCCATCCTGCTACTTCAAAAGGGACGAAGATCTCCTGCTGGATGCCACTGTTGATCCCCCACCTATCAAACAGGTGCTGGTGTTCTACCATGTACATCACCAGGAATGCTACTCAAGACTTTTTTTAAGCACTATGAATGAACAGTCATACCCTCCGAAGTGCCACAATTACATTGTTATCTATGGGGAATTCGGGCTCTCATTTCTTTGCTATCCTATGTAGAAGTGCCCCCAAAGCAGTGTTGCTCGTGCCTCTACTGTCTTACAGACCTGAGCGGGAAAAGTTCATTCTGTTCATAGACCTCTTTCTCACTCTAAAATTCAGACATGGATTGTTGCTCTATCTTTTCACATTTATCCATGCATTTCATTAATAATTATTTTAAGTGTGGATGATAAAGAATGCTTAATTTAAAGATTAAATGGAACAGGGAGAAATGAAATGGGCTGTAAATTATTGAAATCAATCCAAAAGTCATGTTACAATAGGCTTCTTGGGTACATTGTTGAAATCAAAACTGCTCTCATTTTTAGTTTTTTAACCTAGTGTCCCATCTTACTATAACTAAACTACTTTGTCTCTATCTGATAATCTCTGGGCATTTTTCAATTTGCAATTCAAATGCCAACCTATAGATTCTCTTCCCATATCTCCAACTCAAAATCACCAGAAAGACCTGATTGACCAAACCAATTACCATTTTTCTTGTATAAGCATTTGAGGCAGGATATCTCGTGGGTTATTGGCTCATCTTTGGGTATCATTGGTCACAAGGTAGTATCATGAAGTATCAATAAGAATACATTCAGAAGTTACTTCCCATAATGGCTGGCAGGAATGCTCAGACATGATTTTGTTCCACTAGGAAACAAGAATTCTATACAGAATAATCTTCAGCAGAGATAATGTACGAGGAACATAGTGAGATCTCAAATTTTTGCTTTGTGACTTAAAGAATAAGTCTCATTCTTTTATATGACATTTAAATTCATTTAGAATATATCTCAATTTGCCTTTCCAGTTTTCTCTATTAATTTTATTTTTCATTGAACTCTTTGTAAACTTTTGTTGAGTACTGAAAATATGCTTGGAACTTTTCTAAGAGTCTCACATGGGTTTATTCCTTTAATCTCATAAAACAAAGTACTATTTTATCAATAAGAAAACTTAGATTAAGTAACTTGCACAAGGATACATTAAGCTAGCAAATGACTAAATAGAAATTCAAACTCAGATAGTATAGCTTCAAAGCTCAAAATCTTAACCACTAAGCCATAATGCTTCTCAAAAATTAACAAATATCATTAACATGATAATAAGTAAATAATAAATATCATGAATGGTTATTTTATGCTATTGGGGATTCAGAACACAATACCCAAAATACATTGCTGTGGCATGCTGAGTTCTTTGAATTGCAAAACCTTAGTAGTCCCCCAAACAAGATCTCTCCTGTCTTCCTTTTTCCTTCTCCCATTCTCCTCACTTGGGTCATAGAAACTAGAATTTCTTCCCACTGAGGCAGGTAATAGAAGCCAGAATTCCTCTAAAACAGGCCATAAAACTTAGAAAGGTCACTTCCTGATCTTCCCTTTTCTGTGTGAAACATGATCATAAAGGAATTCTCTGACCTACCCTACCTAAAAATAGGTCACAAGTCCCCCATTCCAGAAAACTCCTGCCCTATACCCAAAGACCAAGAATAATCTGAGGTCTTGCTGGGTTTCCCACTCAATGTATTGGGAACCAGATCATGTCCCTTTTTCCTAATGATGTTTCTTTACAACTAGCCACTCTTTTTTTTAAATATCAGACTTAGCATAAAAATACAGTTATTCCTGAATCTTTAGGAATTCATTTATGTGACTCCCCTATTGCATAAAACTTTGGTAAATAAATTTGCTATGCTTTTCTCTTGTTAATCTCTTTTTTTAAAAACAGGGTTGTCAGCCATAAACTTTGCAATGGACAAGGAAAAGATACTTCTATTTTTCCTTTATAATGCCAAACAATGGGATAAGGGCTTAACATACAAATCATATTTCTCCCTGCTGCCATTATGGTTAAACATTTGTATTACAATTTCTAGCCAAAAACAAAGTTATAATTTTTCTTCTAAAGCACTACAATAGCTGTACCCTGCAGGCTTTTGATGTTTTACCTTTATTATCATTCGCTTACATAGATTTTCTTATTTCATTGTGATTTCTTCAGTCCACATACTTGGTATACTATTTCAATTAAAAATTTCTCCTGTTTCTAGTTTAATTCTATTGTGGTCATGAGGTAGGAGAGAAGACAAGGACAGGAAGAAAGAAGACATGTGGGACAAAAACAAGAGTGGTCATTGTTTAAAGTTCATATTTAAAGTCCACTTTCACATGCTTTAAAGTCTCCATTTAAAGTCCACTTCTCCATACTTTGATCCCAAACAACACTAATTAAATCAATTATTAGACCTTATCCACAGGTCCATAAATAACCTCTCTCCTGACCTGGACCCAAAAGACAAACAGATCCAAGAATACTTTTACTCAACAAATAGACTTCTCTGCAATTTTTATTCAGGATTTGATTACTCATCTACATAACATTCTTACAATCAAACTCTCAATGTTATACCAATGTAGTACTTTTTAAATTCACAAAGCCCCTTAATGGGGAAATCAATAGATTTTTTTCATTAAAAAAATTAAAGGAAAATAAGCTCTAATAGGTAATGATTAACATGTTGAATTGTTAGGTTGCAGGTAGACATGATTACTGGGTCAGGGGTTTAAGAAAATACTTGGTACAGAGCAAATAGGTTAATCAAAAACAGCCCTAACTCACCGCTGCTGCAAGATCTGACAAGATAACTATTTCAGAACTCTTGCCTTATCTCAGCCCTAAAAACTACTCCTCTTACAACCATAGGAAGATAGATAAATTCAGTGGTTAAGAACCGAAGGACAAGGATATGGTTGCTCAAAAGGACCTAATGGTTACAATATCCAAGAGCCTATGGAAACAACATAGACCAGAGATTACCAGACTTGGAAAAGCAGGATGATTAAGAAGAGAGCCCACTACCCATAAATTCTGTAAAACCAGTTCCAATTAAAACTTGTCAGGCCAAGATGACCAAGAGTTGCCCTCAAAGTGGTTGTTAGCTTATGTCTGTCAGTCCAGAGCCCAGGGGTGATAACTTGGGTAGGATCTGCCAACAATCTCCCTCCTACCTCAATAAAAGCTGGGACACAAAGTGGATCCTCTCTGAAAGGACCCAGTCTCTCCCTTGAGTGTCCTTTCTCCCTACTTTCTTTCCCCTAATAAACTTTACTATACTGTCCTGCTTGAAATCCTCTCATGCAAGGGCACAAGAGCCAAGAACACAACTGCTATCTCAGGTATGACCTTCCTTATCTGAAAAATCAAAGTCACCAACACAGGACTAAAATTACCTTCTTATGTCTCTACTCTATAGATATTACATATATAAATATGCCTTGCTAAGGTGAAACTGGTTTGTTCCTCTCCAATGCCCTCTCAGAGGCTGTACTTCTTGCTTTCTCTCAATAAAACCAATCTGTGCCTCCCTTCAACCAAACTTTAAGGACCTCAAGAACCCTTAGGGCCTGAGGTGAGGGGCACCTCCCTTTGGGAATGTCTTTCCTGTCAGAGAACACACTCGGAATGGTGTCTGTGAAAGTGTTGGGGCTGGTTTAGGTTCGTATTACATGTGCATCAAGTTTCCTCTATCTCCAACTACTCAGTACTGGTAGTAGTTTAGAAAACTTCAATGGTGCCGTGTGTGTGTGTGTGTGTGTGTGTGTGTGTGTGTGTGTGTGTGTGTGTACGTGAGCGCGCGCGTGTTTTTCAAGGCATAAACCATCCAGGGGTGAATCAACTGTAGTTATTATTTTTCTGTTACCTCTTTTCCCCTTGATACTCAAAATATAGCTACTACTGCTTCTAATTAAAAACAGAAAATGAAGAAAACTACTAGTATTCCCTACAGCACGGCGCTTCCACCTCCCCTCACCTGCCGGGAAGGGCCAGCGCACCGCCCCAACACGACGCTCGCCGGC